AATATCTCAAAAAAGGCTGAACCACCCAAGCAAAATCATCAAGCAAGAAAAAAGAAATTAACAATTAGCCCAATTTACCCAGTAAACACGGAAATATACACCAACTATGGGTGTAAGTCTATATATGTGTATGTATATACGCAATTATAAATATAAATTCATCTGTTATTATTATTTCTTTTCCTCATTGCAAAAAAAGACAGTAAATCATTATCACAGTGTAAGCCCAGGTGCACCAAGAGAGTCTCCACGTACACACACACAATGGAGTAGCAAAAATAATTATTATAGGATAAACATAAAGAGTAAACACACACAAAACACATTAACATTAAGAAACAAAAAAAAAGAAGATAATTCCCAACATATGGAATATTAGTTAGACTGTAGTGATGCATGCAAAGAAAGAAAAGAAAACAAAGGATGACCTGAGTCACACCACCACCACACAATCAGCACACAAGAATACAGGCCAGTGTAACCACAATCAGTAGTGGTACACGCACCCACACAGAACTGCTGATACTGCTGCTGCTGTCTGCATCACCCTTCTTGTTGTTTGTGAGTTCAGGAGGAAGTGTTGTTGTTGTTGTGGTAGTGGTGGTGGTGGTTGATTCACTCTCTGCAGGTGTAGTGTCATTCTCAGCATTTTCAGTTTCAGATGCTTGTGTCCCCTCATTTGCCTGTGAAGATGCGGAAGGAGTTTCAGTGGATGGTGTAGGAAAGGATTCTGAGTCTGCACCTTCTTGTGTAGATGCAGGTACAGTGTTAGCATTCTCACTTTGAGCATTTTGTTCATTCTTATTGGTCGTTGGTAAGCTGTCACCACTCGAACTGGATCCTGGAGAAGAAGAATGAGTTTCTCCTCTCGGAGCACCATTGCTTCCTTCACCCCTACGGGTATTCCCCTTCACACCACCATCACTACCTAATTCACCTGAAGGTCCACGGACACCATCACCAGTACCAGCAACACCTGTTTCACCAGGAATAGGTTCAGTAGCAGGATGAGTAGGAGGGGACTGTGCAGTAGTACGTTGAAGTTCTGGTGCACTTCCGTCCAACGTTTGGGTTTGTGGAAGACCTTGAGCAGTTGGTTCTCTTTCATTGTCCACTCCTTTGGGTTTTTCTTGAATTGAAGTTTCTTGCCCTTTACTTTGAGGAGTATCAGGATGGCCACTCCCTCCACTACCACCACCACTTCCAACTCCTGCACCAACACTTCCAGGT